ACATGTCACTGGTTGCTTTTCCTCCATTTCCTCTGTTGGTTCCTCCTCTTTCCAGTGAGTCTCCTCAGGCCCACTGTTTGTTCCTCTTCTCTTTTATAGCTACACGCCCTTGGTGATTTAATCTAGCCCCATGGCTTTAATTACCTTCTGTATGAAGATAACCCTGAAATTTAGATCTCTGTTCCGAAACCTCTCAGTTGAACTCCAGATTTTGTGTCCAAAGGCCTGTACATCCATTTGAGTGTCTAAGAGACTAGATAACAGGTCCAGAAATTAACCCCTTGTATCTGTCTGTGGCTTTTCCCATCTTATGGCTGAAGATGTCATCCGCCTGGCTACCGAGGCCAGAAACCTTGGCGTCATCCTTGACCGCTCTCTCTTATGTGCCACATCTTCCCATTAGATTCCTTCAGAGTATATCCAGAATCTGATCCTTTCAGATCCAGAAGGTGATGCTTTCTCATCACCTCGCTGCCGCCACCATTGTCTGAAACACTGTCATCTTTCACTTGAATTACTTGCACGAGCTACCTGACGGGTTTCCATACTTCTATCTTTATATGCCTGGAGTCTATTCTCAACAAAGCGAGGGACCAATCATTTTATTTTTATTTTTAATTTAAGTAAAACATACATAGAAGAGTATAAATACTCTAATGGAATTTGAGGTAAAGCAAACATAAAAAGTATAAAATACTCCAGTCTTAAATATATAGCTGATTGATTTTAAATATCTCTACACCTGTGTACTCACCACTCAGTTCAAAACAAAGGATACTTCTAGCATGTCTGTTCCCCTTGTGCCACTTTCCAGACTATACCCCTCTAAAGTTCATCACTATTCTAATGTCTGTTTTCATTGTTTAGTCTTGATCTTGAATTTCATAAATTGAGCATCATATAGTATATACTCTTTTGTTAGCTTCTTTTGCTCATGTTTTTTCACAGGCTCCAGACGCGCAGGCTCAGCGGCCATGGCTCACGGGCCCAGCCGCTCCGCGGCATGTGGGATCTTCCCGGACCGGGGCACGAACCCGTGTCCCCTGCATCGGCAGGCGGACTCTCAACCACTGCGCCACCAGGGAAGCCCTGCTCATCTTTATGTGAGACTTTCTCTGGAGGTCAGTTGCTTAATCTGTAAAGATGAGGGTAGACTGAGATTAGGAGCTAAAATTTGAAAACAAACTGATGTCCAACCCCAACTCACAGAATTTCTGATTCTTATTGTCTGGGGTCAGACACAGGGAAGTAGTATATTTTAAAAGATCCCAAAGAGAATAATATAACATGTAGCCTCTGGATCAAATGACTCTCTGTCTTCCTCTGTCTCTATCTCTCTTTTTATTTTCTTGGATTCATTTCTTCCAAAAATACAAGGACCAATTGGCCAACACTCCTTTCCTCCCTTCTTCCTCAAGTATGTACTGTGCATCTATCAGACACCAAACACCATGCTAGGCTGCCGAAGGTGCACGAGTCAACAAAATTCAGTTCTTGTCTCTCAGAGGCATAGAGCTTCGCTAAACCCATGTCTCCATAAAAAAAAAAGAAAGAAAGAAAGAAAGAAACCTGAATGAACAAATAAATAAATAAATAAACTATGAAAACTCAACAAACATCTCTATTTACCCACAAACCAAATAGAGGGAGTGAGGAGAGAGAGATCAAGAAATGATTGACTTTGTTAAATGACCTAGTAATTTTGAAATAGTTGTTTAAATTTGGTCAAATAACTGATTACTTATGAAAGATTGACTCAAATTTCAACTCAGTTGCTTTCCTTTTCAAAATGATTTGGTATCTAGACAAAGGGAATTGAAAAGAGTTAAAATTCTTTTTTCAGATCTTGAACAGAAGGACGCCATTTGTAAACACATCCTAAAAATTAACTATGTGATTATATAACCAGTATTTTGAATATTTTGTTTTTGTTTTGCGCCAGTTAACTGATGTAATTAAATCCATGCAGAGACTTCGCTTGTGAGGATAATTTTCCACTTTCTGATTAGTCATTGAATATAACGCCCACCCCCACCCCCCAAAAGAAAAGATACGGTAGATGTGTCAATGCTCTGGCCTTCCTCAGTGTTTTTCAAATTGTGGATTACTGTCCATCAATGGATCCTGAAATTCATCTAGTGGATTTTAACCAATATTTAAATACAGATTAAAAAGCATTAATTAATTAATGAAAAGAGAAGACAATGTTATTAGTAGAAAACATCACAAGCGATTTCATGTAGCAAGTATAAGTACTGATCTATGAAACTTTTGTTTCCATTATATTTAGGTAACTGTGCATTGGGTTGTTTATTAGTTTATTAAGTACATGAAATTATTCTAATGAAAAATTGACCCAAATTATTAGCTGTTAAAATTACAGTTTGAATTTTGATAGCTTATTTGGTATATGATTCAAATAATACTGAGAAAAAATAAAACTCACCAGTTAATTGGATAAATTTGATGGCAAAATCACTTTTATCTGTTTGGGATTTCAAAAATGTTTGGAGGTTTTTAGTTCAAACAACAGTTGAGGTTTGACAGAAAAATTCGGAACTAAAACAGTATTTATAGATGTTTAACTGGGAAATGTGAAGGGACAATCTATTATTTTAAAGCAGGAATTATGAGAAACTAATGTCTCAAATTTATTAAAATAAAAATAATCATTAACCGAAGTATATTATTATATAGGTAGAAAGTAGTCTCAAATTATTTTAGAGTATGCCTCTGATAAGGAAACTAAACATATAAATGACATTTAACAACATTTCTCATAGCCATTTTCTTTTATTATAACATTGCTGGGTAAAAAATGTAAGTAGTACCAACAAGCATGATTGAATTTATAGATGACTTTGGAGTTAGGTAGGGAGAGGATATTATTTTCTTAAGTTATGTTTGTTATGTTGTTACATTGTTGGAAAATTAATTATGACCAAAACCAAAAATTGGTGAATAAATAAAGTGTAATGAACTATCCTTTAACAGTCATACTGGAGATTTTGTATTCAAGTACTTATTCTGTTGCTGTTACTTACCTGCTATAGTAAGATGGGAAACAGAATTAACTACCTCAAATTGTTCGTGCTCGTAGTGAATGACTGTAAAGGACTATTACAAAAGGTTGAATGCTTCTGATAAATAGATATGAAAGGAATGTAAGGTATATTTTGAGTATTTTTTTCTTTCCTCTACTAGGACCCTTTTAATTTCCCTTTCTAATTTATGGTGCATATTGAGAGAGAGTTGTGTCTCTAATACCCAATCTAGACAGCAGTTTTATTTTTTATTCTGTTTGAACAGCCAAAAAAACCATTTTACACACTTAATTACAGACACTGTTCATGAATATTTTCTTGGTCTTCCAATGAACTAATCTGTTTATGTATAATAAAAATACATTTTGCAGTAAATTATATATATTTGGGCCAGAAATCTTCTTACTTTCTATAAAATGCATATAATTGGTATAAAATTAATAATATCAGTAATAATTGTTGCAGCAGTCAAAAATACTCAGCTCAATTATCGGTCTTAATATTAGGCCACAATAATTATTTGGCATCTTTTATTTTTAATCAACCTGAAAAAAATGTTTTTAAAGAACACACTGGATAGACACAGTAGTATATTCTGTTTGTTACACTTTTCTTTTTCTTTCCTTTATGTCATCTTATTTTCTAATAGCAAAGTGAAATGTGAAGGAAAGAGTTTGAAGTGGATTCCAGAACCATAGGTTTTTTGGGTATTTAGACGTTGACAAGTAGAACGAGAAGGTCCACTTGGTCATGTAACATTCAGCGTCTCCAACTCTATCATTCTTTCAGTAAAACTTATTTTGAAATGAATCAAGAAGTTATTTTTTTCTCAAAGCAAATGTGTATACCTTGGCTGCAGTCATTTTGAAGTAAAGAACTTCTCATTGGATATTATTACTTTAATTTTGCACAAAATTACATTTAAAAAGGAACGTAAACAGTTGTCCATTTTATAAAGACAGATTCTGGAATATATATTTTTTTCTTTTTATTTTCTTTAACAGACATTTTGACCTTCCTATGAAGCTCAGCTAAAGAGGACATTGGCAGAACTTTGTATGTCCTCCTGCATAGCTTTTGATGAGAATTTAATAAGACAGAAAACAGTACCTTGCCAAGTATTAACTTTAAATCTCCTATTTACTTTAGAGTTTCAAGATTTATGGAATACCACAAAACCCAGGAAGATGACTCACAAAGAACTGGAACTTTCTAGTTTCCTACATTCTTTTAAAAAGTCTTAGCTATTTAACTTTGCTACATAATGCCATAACTAATACTGAAATCAACCCATGAATTAACATAAATTAGTCTTTTTTTTGTTTGTTTTGCTTCTCACCCTAAATGGTTAATCATTGGCTATCATGTTGCAAGGAACTGTTCAAAAGCAGTGGCATCACTCTTTTAAATTACAAAGGCAATACCTATATTTAAGCAGAGAATTAGCAACTGTAGAAATACAAATACAGTTTTTAAAATAAAGAATTTCTATGATTTAGGATGAAAATATGCTTCATTTCTTTCATGTATATCAACCCTTATCTTTTGGCATACTTACCAAATATTACTGTTCGAATCTCAGTTGCCCACATCCTAGTATTCTAACTCACAGAAACAGGAGTCTCCTTCTATTTGGATGCTTTAGTTGAGACTTTGTGAAGCACAAAATCAGTCTGGTTTTATGTTAAGTAGGTGGGTTGCTAATCTGTAAGAATGCCATTCTTGGTCAGGCCTTTATGAATTGTTTGTAAGTACTAAATCGGACAATGCAATCTTTATATTCATTCTGCAATTAGCCAAAATAATTCTAGTTAAACTCTGGTTAAAATTCTCTAGTATGAAATGAATGTAAAGTATTCATTCTTTCTTTATCTTTCTCTCTGGCTTCATTCTAGCTCATTTATTTATTTAAAAATAACCTTCTAAGTTACTTTTTCACTGCTTTTCATGTTGCAGATTGAAAATGTTGATGTCTGCCTTAGTTTTCTAGCAGCCAGAGGAGTAAATGTTCAAGGTCTATCTGCTGAAGGTAAGAAAAAGCACAGTTGTCACAAATGGCATCCATGTTTGTAAAAGACTTTTTATAATGCTAGAAATGTAAAGTGGGAGTACATAGCCCCTAATACAAGAAAGGCAATCAGTAAAGTTTCCAAAATAATAGAAACATAAATTCAGTGGTTATTACTGTACGCCTTATGTAGTTATGTTCCAGATTTTGCCAAAATTGTTCTTTACATTACCGAGTATATGGGAGGGGGACATATTAACAAAATATCTTTATGTTATTACCACTTGGTAGTGTTTGTAGAGTCTTAAGTAGATGGATGGATAGATAGATAATGCTGGATAATAAATATAGTAGATGGACATAAATACACTTAAAATAGTGTAATTAATGCTAAAATATTTTATCAGTAACAATTCTATAATTTGATCAAGTTGGTAGTCCAACTCTAAATATTTGTTAATTTTAAATAAGTCATCAGGAGTTCTTACTTAATTAGCACTAACAGTATTAATAACTGTTCTTTGTAAAGGCCTTAAAATTATTAAATGTTTAAAAGATCATCACTGACATTGAAATATAGAAAAGTGGAAAAAGAAAACTAGATCTGTTATTTTTATTTCTGTATTTCTTTTTCTTCCACATATATTTTTAGGAAGCCTTTGCAAAATTTTCAATTTAGTACTATTAACAAAGAACAATTGCTAAAGTTATGACATACCAAGTCCTTTGAGATCTGTATCAGCAACAACCATTTTTAATTAGAATTTTATGATTAAACACTTTTGACAATTTATGTTGCTTCTTGTTTCTACTACAGTCAGTTTACTCTGAAAAGCCTTTTTCCCCCACAAATAGAAATATTAGACAATTCTAAGCTGTTCAAAGTTTGCTGCCATTGGAAAAAGAGGAATTGTGTGACTTCTGAAATATTATGGACATGTACTAGAATTATTTACATTTGTCAATTTTTCTTCACTGTTTAAATTTTATTTTAAATTTCTTTAATCCTTTACCTGTATATGTCATCATGATGTTTAATATTAAATTACATATTTAATGGCAAAAAACTTATGTTCAAACCTAACTCATGGTTCTGTTACTTAGAATAAAATTTGATAAAATCCTCCAGGATAATAATACTTTACTTTTTAAGTGGTTAAAGTTGGTGAGAAATGTTACCATTTATTCGTTTTATGTCTCTTCTGTATAACATGACATCTTTTTGTTTTGCTTTGTTTTGTTTTTTCATATTCTTTTTTTTTAAACATCTTTATTGGAGTATAACTGCTTTACAATGTTGTGTTACTTTCTACTATATAACAAAGTGAATCAGCTATACGTATACATATATCCCCATATCCCCTCCCTCTTGCCTCTCCCTCCCACCCTCCCTATCCCACCCCTCTAGGTGGTCACAAAGCACCGAGCTGATCTCCCTGTGCTATGCGGCTGCTTCCCACTAGCTATCTAGTTTACATTTGGTAGTGTGTATATGTCCATGCCACTCTCTCACTTCGTCCCAGCTTACCCTTCTCCCCCAAACCCATGTCCTCAAGTCCATTCTCTATGCCTGCATCTTTATTCCTGTCCTGCCCCTGAGTTCTTCAGACCCTTTTTTTTTTTTTTTAGATTACATATATATGTGTTAGCACACGGTATTTGTTTTTCTCTTTCTGACTTACTTCACTCTGTATGACAGACTCTAGGTCCATCCCTTTCACTACAAATACATCAATTTCATTTCTTTTTGTGGCTGAGTAATATTCCATTGTGTATATGTGCCACATCTTCTTTATCCATTCATCTGTCGATGGACACTTAGGCTGCTTCCATGTCCTGGCTATTGTAAATAGGGCTTCAATGAACATTGTGGTACATGACTCGTTTTGAATTATGGTTTTCTCAGGGTATATGCCCAGTAGTGGGATTGCTGGGTTATATGGTAGTTCTATTTTTAGTTTTTTAAGGAACCTCCATACTGTTCTCCATAGTGGCTGTATCAGTTTACATTCCCACCAACAGTGCAAGAGGATTCCCTTTTCTCCCCACCATCTCCAGCATTTATTGTTTGTAGATTTTTTGATGATGGCCATTCTGACTGGTGTGAGGTGATAACCTCGTTGTAGTTTTGATTTGCATTTGTCTAATGATTAATGATGTTGAGCATCCTTTCATGTGTTTGTTAGCAATCTGTATATCTTCTTTGGAGAAATGTCTATTTAGATCTTCTGCCCATTTTTGGATTGGGTTGTTTGTTTTTTGATATTGAGCTGCATGAGCTACTTGTATATTTTGGAGATTAATCCTTTGTCCGTTGATTCGTTTGCAAATATTTTCTCCCATTCTGAGGGTTGTCTTTTCGTCTTGTTTATGGTTACCTTGGCTGTGCAAAAGCTTTTAAGTTTCATTAGGTCCCACTTGTTTATTTTTGGTTTTATTTCCATTTATCTAGGAGGTGGGTCCAAAAGGATCTTGCTGTGATTTATGTCATAGAGTGTTCTGCCTATGTTTTCCTCTAAGAGTTTTATAGTGTCCAGTCTTACATTTAGGTCTTTAATCCATTTTTATTTTATTTTTGTGTATGGTGTTAGGGAGTGTAACATGATATCTTTTATTAACATAAACCTCTTACTTTTTGTTTATCTCCTAAAAATATATGAATGCCCAAAATGATTTTCTAAATTGATTAAACATGTATAGTAATAAAATAAGAAGTTAAATAAACCTCTTTCAATAAGGTCATTCAGGTTTACAGGAGAAAATTAATACTTTCTCACTGTAGCTTTATATTGATCAAGCCAATACTTATATGTTATGACCCCTGTAAGGAAGATTGGGGGCTTATAACAGTTCAGCCTCATTTTATATGAATAATTCCACGGCATAGTGTGTGTGGCATTATAAACCATCGGAGAGCAAGAAATCTAAGTAGTTTATTAATGTTTCTAAATTCCAAAAAGGAGACAGAAAACCTTGACCTCAAAGGAGGATATATTTTATTACCAATAGCAAGTTTCATTTAAATTATGATTATAGGTTGTGTAGCATTATATCAAGCTTTACTTGCATCTCTTTTTCTAATTTTAAAATTATAACTGCAGGAGGAAAATGTAGGCTCATGTTGTAGCCTACTTTGTGCATTTAATTTTTTATTCAATATTAGAAAAACTTACACAAGAGCCCCATGTGTTAAAACTAGGAATTCCACTTACATTTATTCAATTATGTTATCTAAAGTCATGAGTAAGGTGATCTTTAATATTTATTAATATGTAACATAAATTAAAAATAAAAGAATTGGAGCATTAAAAATGGATACCTATGATGTAGTCTGCTTTTTCAAGGACATATACATATATTTTTTAAAATAAATTGGTTGGTGGGTGATTTAGAATTGTGCTAACAGTTATAAATCTAATTGCTATTATGAGGTGCACCCATAGCATCACTATTTATAATGTAGGGCAACCAGCATTTAAGTGGCTTTCTTTCTCTAGCTCATAGCCACCACTGTGTTGGTAACAGCTATGTGTGTTTGTGAGGGAAGCAGAGTGCTAAACCAAATGATTAGCACAAGACTGAGAGCCCATCCATTTCCGTGAAGAAACTAACTCTAGAAAAACTGTCATTCAGGGTCAGCAAAGAACATCACTTGAGTAAGCTTTGTTCTCTCTACGCTTCATCCCTTCCCTCTCTCCCTGAAAGTTCCAAGCTATTTGGAAATGCTAGCATGTTTCAGAAAATCAGATTTGCTTAAATCTGTGACTGAGAAAATCAAGTTGTATTTCTGTCTCCATAGATTTAGCCTAAGAGACTTGCTTCTGGAATTTCATTTGTAAAAAATAATCATTTTCTATGATACTGTTTTTATATTTTCCACTTGATACAGAAATAAGAAATGGAAACTTAAAAGCCATTCTAGGGCTGTTTTTCAGTTTGTCTCGCTACAAGCAGCAGCAGCATCATCAGCAGCAGTATTACCAGTCCTTAGTGGAGCTTCAGCAGCGGGTCACTCACGCCTCCCCTCAGGCAGAAGCCAGTCAGGCCAAAACCCAGCAAGATATGCAGTCCAGGTAAGGAAGGGAAGCGGGGAATGTGTTTAGAATGAATTTATCTTGATACAGCTTGTTTTTAATAAGTTTTTGTTTGCGAGTTTGGAAAACATATTTATATAGTTGTATCAAAATGATGGGATTCTTCGATTAATGTTATAGAATTTAAAACCACTTTTCTATTGGTTGGATGACCAACACTTATCACTTTTTAGGTGAAATATTTGTGTTTGTTTTCTGAAGGTGATTGTGGTTTGTATCAAAATGTGTGAAATGTCTTTCTTGTAAGTAGTGTATCAGAGTTCCTTCCTTCTACAAGTTATTGTTTAGAATGTGCTTTTTGAATCCTAGTCTCCAGTTGTGTAGTTTTCTTTGTTTTATGCGTTTGATAGATTAAATCGTTACATCTGTCAAAAATTTCAGGTCTGTTAAACATAGGAGTTTGAGTGTTTGGGAACATACCATTTTGATGTGAGATTGTCTGTGCATGCATGTGCGTGTATACGTGTGTGTGAGTTTCTATACACACATTGTTTGTCTGACTTGAGTCTGTGGGTGCACGTAGACACAGCTGGTGTGGGGTGCTGACAAACCACTGCAGCTTCCTTTACTCTTTCGTTCCTGCTTTTTTTCCAGTTTGGAACTATATCAGTCATGATTCAGCTAGAGAAGCAGAATCAGTAAGAAAGAGTGCCAACAGATTTATTTTAAAGAATTGATTCACATGATAATGGGGGCTGGCTAGGCAAGTCTGAAATCCTGAGGGCAGCCCAGCAGGAAGACAGGCTGACACTCTTAGCACGAGCTGAAACCGCTATAAACTGGTGGAATTTCGTCTCTGAAGGAGACCACAGTCCCACTTTTAAGACCTTTCAAGGAGTGAGTCAGGCCTACTATCCTAGTGATAATCTAGGATTATCTCCCTTACTTAAAGTCAACTGCTATGGACTTTAACCACATCCACAAAATGCTTTCACAGCGAAACCCAGATTGGTGTTGAGTGGAACTAAATAAACCTAGCTAAGTTGACACATCAAAAAATGATCACAGAACATAATTAAGTTAACAGGTTTCATGCAAATTACTCATATGTTTCTGATCAGTTTTCAGGTTATCAGATCATTAGCTCTATGGCATACATAGCTATGATCATTTTTCTTAAGGAGGGAGAATGTCCAATATGAAAATACTCTTTTATCGTCTACTAAAATATACACACTGTATCACACATATGTAAATATTTAACTTTTTCCATCTTAGAAGCCAAGCCTAAAACCTAATAATACAGTTTGCCTTGAGTTTGTTTTTGGCAATTAGTATTGACTCAGAAAGCTAACATAAAATTCCAAGATACATTCACAAACCACTTCCCACTTATTGTCAAATATTCAGCAGCTCAGAAATCCCCTTCTCTTTCATCTGTCAACCATCCCTCACTTCATATTAAGCAATATTTCTGTCTCTGTACAACCGTGTAAACTCATTTCCTTTGGCAAATTTTACTCATTAGTGAATTATTAATAAAGAAAAATCACAGTTTCACCAAAAAATATGGAGTGTACTACAAAGGCCATGGAATGATAAGGGATATTTGTTTTTACTAAGTAATGCAGATGTGCTTCTGTTCTTTAAGCTTGTCTTGGTATTTTGTGATGTCATGTGAAATTGTGCAGGAATCAAAGTGAAAAAAACATTCTCTACAGTATAAGTTCTTTAGATTTCCTTAAGTATAGAGAAGGAGAAAAAATAAAATATATTTTTTATATTTTTTATTATTAATTTTTTGGGGGAAGTGGTGGTTGGTAGAAAGAGATCTAGATTTTGAGAACTGCCAGAAATAATATTTCCTAGAGTTTGGTTTAAGCCATTTGAATGGACAAGAAGCAAGAATGGTAGCTGGAAAAATATAGGAAGTAAAGTGGTATTGTGCAAAGGATGTTGACTCTGGAAGTGAGATGAGATATCATTTGTCATTGCTTTCCCTCACTCTATTTCTGTATCTGCCATGTGGAGTTTCTTGCCCCACATTTCTCAGTGGTTATGACCCGTTGGGGGAAATTTTTTTCTCTCCTTGCTGGATATGCATGGATATTATGAAACTGTATTATATTTTAAAATATAGACCTATATATAATAGGCATGGTCATTTTATACCATCTTGGGGAGAGCTATCTTATATTTTTTAGTGAAAGCTTATGAAAAGCATTCTTTTCACCAGTGTCCTTTAATTCTGAGATAGACTCTTAAATAATTTTTTCTTTTGATAAATTGGATTTGATTACTCGTTGGATTGTTAATAAATGCAGAGTAGTTACTGTACTAAAGGTAGTGTAGTACTTAGTTAGGACCATGATAAAGAGGAGCTCCAAGTCTTCATTTTAACAGAATTTATTCTATGTTTTGGAGAATGTTATATTTCAGACATTAATACTTATTTCCATTTGTATAGATTTGACATAGTGAAATAGTGTATGAATTATAATCTATGTGAACTTAAATATAACAATGTACCTAAGCATTTTTCAAAGCCTATGTTGATAGTATACATAGGAAAGGAATAAGTGTCTATACAATAGAACCAAGATAATTAACATGGAAAAGAATCTCAGTGACACATTATCTTCATTTACATGAGATGAGAGTCATAAATCATGATTTATGAAGCCTTTTTGTTGATTCCAAAGCTCTTCCCAAGTGAATAGCTTGAATGACTGGTGGCTATATTATTCTGGATATTTAGCCAGAAAAATGTTCTTGTATTTTTCTCTGAAGACCTAAAATAATGTTTCATGAGAGTATTTTTGTTTTGTTCTCTTTGTTTATTTAAAGTAAATTGACATAACTCTCTATATTTCCACAATGTTTATTTTATACATTAAGAATTGGGAATTTGTTTTGCTCTTTTGAGAATAACCCCAAATGTTTTCAGTAAATTTGAACATCTTTCATTTAAACAGACATTTTGATCTAAAGGTTAGCAAGTAAAATATACAAGAGAGAAAATAAAATGTGGACCAAGAGACATAGAATGTGCATAACAAACCCTCCTCTTCTGGCTTCTCAGCTTCCTCTCCACTCTTGAGTGTGTGTGTGTGGGTTTGTGCACATGTGAGCGAGCATGCGTGCCTGTGTGTGTCCTGTTCAAGGACTGAAGATCTCCTTGTTAAGAGCTCACCTCTAGGGCTTCCCTGGTGGCGCAGTGGTTGAGAGCCCGCCTGCCGATGCAGGGGACATGGGTTCGTGCCCTGGTCTGGGAAGATCCCACATGCCGCGGAGCGGCTGGGCCCATGGGCCATAGCCGCTGAGCCTGCACATCCGGAGCCTGTGCTCCAAGGGGGAGGCCCGCGTACTGAAAAAAAAAAAAAAAAAAAAGAGCTCACCTCTAGAATCAGACTGCCTGCAGTTGGATCCCAGTTCCACCACTTCCTAATTGTGTGACCTTGGGCAACTTACCTCACCTCTCTATGCTTCAGGTTCTCATCTGCTAAAAGGGTATAAAAAATGGCATCGATTTCATGAAGTTGTTTTGGGGGTTCAGTGGGTCAGTATCTACAAAGCTCTTTGAACATACCTGTCAGATGTCACTCTTTTGCTCCAAGCCCTGCCATGGTGTCAAATAGACTAGGCTTGCTCCCCGCTTAGGAAATATGCTGTAGCTGATTCCTTTGCCTGGAATGTTCTTCCTCTGATAGCCACTTGGCTGAATCTCTCACCTCCTGCAAGTCAACTGTTCTAGTGTTGCCTTCTCACTGATGCTGACCTTAACTTCTCTTTTAACACTGCAGTCTGCCCATCTGCACTCCACATCATGGTTGCTGTAGTTTTCCTTCTTTTCTGTAGCTCTAACCCCTCTCTAACCTACAACTTATTTATTATATTCATTGTTTATTATTGCCACTTCCTCCCCTCTGGAACATAAGCACTGTGAGGACAGCAGTATTTTTACATTTTAACCACTTCTGTTTTTCAAGGGATTAGCCCAGAACCTTACACACAGTACGTCCTTAGTAATGATTTCTGAAATGAGTTAAGTAAGAATGAATGAACCTTTATTATAGCTGCTTCTAACTTTAGGTAGGAAAACTTTCTAACATTCACAATTGCAGTGGTACGTCATTTAAAATAAGAATTGTGTATATTACGAAACTGCTATAATAAAGATAAAATGTTCTTGATTCTTGGGTGGTCATGATATTGAACTACAGTTAGTTTCAGAATGATATGTAGTGGAACCATCAGACCTTATGCGGGTCTGATGGAACTATTTGCTTCCATCCTCGTTGATGCCTGACTATATACCTCTTTGGTCTTTTACCTATTTATTATAAATATTTTGTTCCCTTTGTTTTCTGGCTGTCATTCATTAATTCACTGCTATCAGTGTTGCTGCCTCTGTGGAGTACCATTCCTTTACCAATATGTGGTTTCTGTTTTGTGGGATAAGAAAGCAGATTACCAAGATCATTAGCATTTTGGTACCACAAAAAGTAATAGGTAACATGAGTGAAGTGTTTGGGCTATGAAATATCATTGATAGCTTAAAGACTTTCATGTTTATAACTCCTGTCTTCTCTGTCATGTTTGGTTTAGACAATGAAAGAAGATATCTGATCTACTATTAAGAAATGATGCCTCTAATTTGCAGCTAGTACAGAGTTTAAAATTTTTAATTAAAGGCTGGTTAAAAAACTGAATACCACAACTAATCGAACACAAACGTATTATCTTTAAAATGTCCAAATTACTAATTTGTTGTGTTAATAAATAATATTAATACAGAAGTCCTTACCTCGTCAACATAAACTAATATTACAAAGGGAAAAATACTGTTGAAAGACCTATGTTCTGAATTAACCCTAAAATGGCATGGTTGGTGTAAGTTTAGTGACGATATGTGAGGGTAGTCTTGTTCCTTGATCACTGATCTGTTTATCATTTGACTAGAATTATCCATTTGTAGTATGTGTATTAAAATAAAGCTGCGACTCATTCTAAATTTCCTCAGTCCTTCAGCAATCTCA